TTTAGGAGAGGAGTGCATTTGTGTTGAAAGAAGTCTAACTGGCCTAGATTTTTGCATAGAAATACTTGAAAAGACTTCTATAATAATTTGGCTAAAGACTATACAAACCTAATTAGAAATGTGCAGTTCCACAAGGGCAAAAAATGATAGTTGGAAACACCTATTAAATATTCATTTTACACCCTCAGAAAAGGGAGAAAAAAGATCTAATTTTATAAAAGCCTTCATGTAAGAGAAAAAAAGTTGACCATAATTTTACTTATTAGTCAACTTTATCCAATGACATAATGCATACGGTGTTTTATTGTATGTCTGACTTTGTCTCTGTAAACCAATATAATGCATATAATACCTTCACAGAATCACCAAGGTTGAAAAGGACCTGAAAGATCATCCAGTCCAACCATCCACCTATCACCAATAGTACTTACTAAACCATGTCCCTCAACACAAAATCCAAATGTTCCTTGAATATTTCCAGGGTCGATGACTCCACCACCTCCCTGGGCAGCCCATGCCAGTGCCTGACCACTCTTTCAGAAAAGCAGTATTTCCTAACTTCCAGCCTAAATCTCCCTTGGCACAGCTTGAAGCCATTCCCTCTAGTTCTATCACTAGTTACATGAGAGAAGAGCCCAAGCTTGCTGCAACCTCCCTTCAGGTAGTTATAGAGTGCAATGCGGTCTCCCCTGAGCCTCCTCTTCTCCAGACTGAACAATCCCAGCTCCTTCAGCCACTCCTCATAAGCCTGTGCTCCGGACCCCTCACCAGCTTCATCACCCTTCTTTGAACCTGCTCCAGGGCCTCAATGTCTTTCTTTAACCAAGGGGCAACCTTCTCAATTTATGCAGCAAGGATATTCCCACTTTAATGGGAAATCAATGATCGGAATGTAGAGGTTTTTTCCTTCTGCATAATAGCAGGTTTAATATGTAAAAATATCTATCTGTACATTGATAAACTTTGGGTTAATTTAAATTGTTATTTCTTTTAAGTGCTAAAATAACCATGCCTAGATGACTAACTTGCCTTTCGTTTCTGTTTTTTTTTCTCCTTCTATTTCCATTTCCTTTTTTTTTTGGGGCAGGGGGTGATGCTGTTCGAACTGCAAAATCAGAAAACATAGCATTTTTTCAATTAGATTACAAGCAAACAAAGCCAGAAAAATGTGTTATTTGATACTGAATGTTAACAGTTTGCTAGTTAATAATCATACATAGTGTAACTCAGCCACTAGAGTTCAAAAAACCAGCTAGCAATAATCTTGCTTCAGATTTAATTGTTGTATGAGTGTGTTGTCAGTATTTAAGGTTAAAGTGTTAAACCATTCAGAATCTGCAGCCAATTTTTCCCTCTTTCTTTGTTTTCCTTCCAAAGTATTCACTGTTTCTGTAAGGATTTCAAAACAAAAGGTGTTTCTCCATTTGTCATCTTTGAATGATCCCAAGACAGTTAGAATTCATGCTTTAGCTTAGCAAGTTTGCCTCTAAAGTCTCAGTTCAGATTTGACCTCAGGCATCTTGCAGCCAGTTTAACTATAGGACCTACAGTCACAGACAGTAAACAGTTTTTAAAGATATAATTCCACTGCTGGTACTTGAAACCAGATAGTCAGGTAAGGGCAACATCCTTAGATACTTCTTTAAACTTTTTATTTCCTATATGCCATGCCATCCATATGTGTAGTAAACAAAATGCCACAAATAAGAAGTCAGTCAGATCTTGGAATCAGATCTTGGTTGTAGGTATTTTTTTGGGTTTTTTTTGTTTGTTTGCTCGTGGTTTTTTATTGTTTGTTTGTTTGTTTTTGTTTTGTTTTGGCTTGTTTGTTTTTAATAGATTTAATTTAATTTCTTGCTAGTGTTGGTATTTTAACCCCCCCGAACATGAGAGAAGCTTTCTACAAAATGAAGTTTTGTTATATGAGTATTTTCATTATCCTCACTTATTCTGGTCGGCAGATGCTAGAGACCTCTTTTTTTCAAAGCCAATGTTGCTAAAGGTGTCTTTCTTTACTATAATTACATGTATTGCTTTTCATTTGGATGACTGAATGTAGAAAGGATTAGACGTTTCCAGTTTGTGCATAATAATAAATCCTCAGAATTTGTTAAAATCCCTTAGTGATTTTCTTTTGATACCTTCGGTTCTGTTTCTGGAGGAATTAAATGTGCAGGATTATCTACATTTAAATCAGAACACACTTTAAATTGTTGAGTACGTGAAGGATTCTTGTTTGTTGGGTTTTTCTTGTTGCTTTTTTTTTTTTTTTTTTTTGTTTGTTTGTTTGTTTTTAATTAAATTGGCTATTGATTTACTTCCAGTTTATTAAGATAATCAGTATAGCACGTAATGATAAGCTTTAAAGTGGATCTACTCCATCAATCATCTTCTGAAAATAGTTATCTACTTTCTGCTCCTTCTTACCCATGTGTTTTAAAGAAGGCTGAGTTGTCCCATAACATCAGATAATATCGTATAACAACATATGCCTAAATTACTCTTTTAGTAGCCTTGCTACTTAGCTGCTAAAGGGCAGCTACATGGTTGTACATTATGAACTGCATATAAATTACACAACCTCCCCATCTTGCCTTTCTTTAAATCAGCAAACAAACTCAGAAAAATCAAAGGAAATTGTTTTAACTCAAAGAAAATTATGGAGATCTAGGACAATTACAGATGAATATGAATTTATTGAAATCATTCCCTAGTAATGACAGATCCCAAAAACATTTTTACAACGAAAAAATGCTAGATTTCTCTTTTTCCTCCCTCTGCTTTCAGTGGTGAATTCACATTGTCATTGCTCAGTGTAAAATATCAGAATGATTAGTGCTACTAGCAACAAGCATAATGAGATCAAGCTATTGAATACAAGAGAGGCTTTTTTGTGTGCGCGGTACTTTTGATAACCCAGCCATAAAACAGGGTTCTGATTACAACTATTTGAAGAAAAAGTTTCCCTGCTGAATTTCCCTTTTACCCTTAAACATCACACTAACCTTGCGCATTCAGCAGAATTCACCTTTCAAAGCCACAGTAATGCTTTTTACTTCCAGAGAATAATGTAATGTGTGAAGTAGTGTTCTCACAGTGACTTCACAATCAATTAGAAGGGCTCATTCTCAGGAAATATGTATTTATGTATGAAACTATCAAGCTGTTCCACTCCTGCTCTGAAACAGGAAACCTGAAGGTTTCTTCATTGGCTACACTCAGATTCAGATATCAAGACAGGCTGCATTTCCGTGTTTTTCAGTAGACCTACTTTTTAAAACACTTTTGTGTGTGGTTCCCAAGAAGAACACCATTGTAAAAGAGTACATTTTTTGGTCATTGTACATTTTGGTCATTAAGTTTGCAAAGAATCCCACAGCAGAAAACTTCATGTAATGAAAATCACTTTGCTGATATTTAGTGCTAATATTCATAGCTAGCAACAGAGAACAAATTCAACCTGCTGTGTTACAAGTATTGTCCTAGTAGCATGAACTGTATTAACTTAATTCAATTCTGTAGCCCATAGATTTATTTCCTTTTTTTAAATGTGTGATTCACTGGTGGTCAACTGAGACTGCAGGAAGCAAAAGGACAAATGGAGAAAGAATCTAATAGTTATGCACGATACGTTTGAGATGCTCATTGTCTATGATCATTCGGTCACTTTGAATTTTAGAACACAGCAGTAGATTTTGCCACTTTGTGGAACAAAAGAAAAGATTAGAATTGAATCATTCTTAAAGGATAAACATATTGAACACAATATTCAGAAAAATACTTTTATCTATTTAAAAAATATTGCCATTAGGGAGAATTAAACAACTGTGATAATAAAGAACTAAAGTATCAAAACATTTCACTAAGTTGCAGAATATTTTTGTTTGCTTTACATAATTAATTTCCAATATGAATAAATGAAATTTAGACTTTTCTTTCAATTTAGACCTTGAATTTGGCTTAATTGAACTTCATGAGGCTCAATTGGCATGGGCCCACTTCTCGAACATATCAAGGTCCATTTGGATAGCATGACTTCCCTCTAGCACATCAACTGCATCACTCAGCTCAGTGTCATCTGCAAACTGATATGCCCTTGATTCCACTGTTCATGTCACCTGCAAAGATGTTAAATAACTCCAGTCTTAGTAATGATCCCTGAGGAATACCACTCATCACTGGTCTCCACTTGTACTTGAACACTGAGCTGTTGACCACAGCACTCTGAATGCGACCATCTGGCCAATTCCCTTTCCAGTGAATAGTTCATCCATCAAATCCATTTTACTCCAAAAAAATCTCTAGAATGCCTATACTGAGAATAACATTCCTGCTCTATTAGCATGATGTCTACACAGATAAATAAATTTTGAGGGAGATTCACAGAAACTTTGGTAAATTGCACTGTCCTCCCTGTGCTGCTTTTCTGTACTAGCAGGAGGAGTGTCTGAAAAACTGCCTGATGGAAAGGGGCCTTGGTGTACTGATGGACAGTATGGACAGTCGGCTTAATATGAGCCAGCAGTGTGCCCAGGTGGCCAATGGCATGCATCAGAAATGGTGTGGTGAGCAGGATTAGGGAAGTAATCCTGCCTCTGTACTCGGGATTGGTGAGGCCTCACTTCAAGTACTGCTTTCAGTTTTGAGCACCTCAGTACAGAAAGGACACTGAGGGGAGACCTTATTGCTCTTTTCCAATAGCTGAAAGGTGCTTACAGCGAGAGTGGCTTTGGTCTCTTCTCACTGGTAACAGGTAACTGGACGAGGGGAAATGGCCTGAAGTTGCATCAGGGTAAGTTTAGGTTGGATATCTTTACAGAAATTGTTGTTAAGCACTGGAATAGGCTCCCCAGAGAAACTGTTGAGTCATCACTCCTGGATGTGTTTAAAAACCTTTTGGATGTGGTGCTCAGGGACATGATTTAGCAGAGGGCTTTTAGTTAGGGTAGTACGGTTAGGTTGTGGTTGGACTCGATGATCTTTAAGGTCTTTTCCAACCTGAGAAGTTCTATGATTCTATGATCTCTCATACAATCTGTAGGGATCAAGCTAGACTTAAACAGATTCAGGGACAGTAAATGGGCTTTGGTGCTGCTTCACTAATACAGGCATATTTGAAAAAGATCACTTATTTAATGTTGGCACTCAGTCGACTTAGAGAGTTCTCTCAGTTTCTTGTACGCATCAGAATTGTTATACTGTTCAACATACATTTTATCTATCATCCACTAACAAGCAAGAAGTTCCTGTTCCTCTAACAGTTCTTCTAATGAGTTAACTGGCCCCAACTTCTCCAAAACAACAGTGATAAAGGATGAAAGGCTTCTCAAGAATGACAAGATTAACAATTCGTATGAAAGAACCTCCTGTTTACACTTAGATGCCGTTTGCTCTTTGTCTTACATTTCAGTTTCCCAAGACATCACAGTGATAAGGTCAATCAAGCTCTTTGGTTATTCGTTCAGTTACATCTTCCCCCACAGTTTAATAATATACTGAGAAACCGTGAGAATAAATCAAGAATGAAGTCCCTCATTTTTTTCCTCTTGGAGTACTTCCTTCACTGTAAAACCAGACTGATCTTGTTTTCCTTTGTGGCTGTTCACTTTCAGTGTCTTCTAAGAAAAGAAGAAGAGTTTGGATTGAACATCAGCAATCACAGATACGACTGTAGCTGCAAATTCTTCTCCAACGTGTTATGGAAAGTGTCATTTTTTAAGTGCTTTGAAGAAACTTATATTATTGAAAATATCAAGAATATAACCTTTCCAACAGCAGTAATTTCAGGGCTTAACATCAGATGTGAAATCAAAAGAGGTCAGGAAGTCACAGCTCAGTTCTTACAGGTATAAGTAAATTCATTTCAACAACTTTGATATAGCATTTAAGTCTAGAGACTCATCTGCTCTTAAAAGCTTTTCAACCTGGGCATTTTCATGTCTCATATACACAGTCAGGACTCACTGGCAAATGAAGCAACTCTTGCCTTCCTCATGAAGTGGAACAAAGTGGGCCACACATCACATATGCAAGTCACAAGAATTGTTGAAAGTCACTATTTTTCCTTTTCTTCTAGCTTGACTGACCCCCAGCTAAAGAAGTTATGAATTCAAGCATTTCATCTCTGCCTGAGGGCTTGTACTTGATAACTCTTGACTGATCCATGAAACCACTGTAATTCTATTTCTTTATGGTTTCATCACAGATTGTACTTGTGACTAACCTGATTATGTGATCACTTTTGTTAAAAGTGATTCCAGATGTAAAGGAAAAAAGATTTATATTTTATGATAAAAAAGAAGTATTAAAAAGATAGTAAATAATAGATTGCAATAGAGAGGTACATTAAGTCAAAGGAATAACTGAAATAGCAAACTCAAAGTCTTCAGTTTACCGTTTTAAAATTGAAATTAAGGTGAATTGATGGGAATAGATTTAAAACAAATTGTCTGTTTTTCATGATGGAAATCTATTAAGTTGATAGAACTCATTGCCATAATATGTTACTAATTTCAAATACTTAGTAAGCTTTAAAACAACTAAACATTTACATTGATAATGGAAACACCCACTGTTGTATTAGTTAGAAAATAAAGATCTTGTTTAGAATGGGACTAAATCTTCATGTTTTTATATAGAGATTTATCATTACCTGCCAAATATTTTAAAAAAATAATCTACATGGAGCAGTTATTTTGAAAGAATTATTCATTTAATCAGGTTTTTGCGTTTTCTTTTGAATCTGTCATTCAATCAACCTACCTATCTACCTAAACACAACAACAGAATAACTTCAAGTGTATCTTCAATGAATCCAACCTCGAAGAAAACTGAATTATTTGTGAAAAGGAACTTGAAGAAACTTGAAGATTGAGAGTATTTGAAATAGCGCCTAAATAATAAATATAATAACAATTATTAGTAGTAATAGTAATAATGCTCATACAAGCTATCAACTCCTGAAGACCTTTTCTTAGAAGGCAGACAGTTGGGTTTGTTGAGTTCCTTCCTGAGAACTAAGGCTGGCATGTGTCCCCTGGCAAGCCAGGAAGTTGTTGAGGAGTGGGTGGAGGGATCAATTATGACTCCTTGCAGAACCCACTTTGTCAGAGAACTGTAGGCTGTTAACTCTCAAACTAGTGGGTATTTCAATGACTTGAATTATATTTTCCAATGAAGTTAGAACACTTGGTCTGGTTCAGATTTTTGTTTGTTTATTTGTTTGTTTGTTTTCTCCCCATTGTGGATTATACAATCTTGCTAAAATTGATATTCCATGCACAGAATAATTAAATATGCCTTCAACTGGAGACAAAGAAAAAGCCTGGGAGCTTGGTGCCTCTTGCGTATGCACTTAAGCATATGCTGTCTATGCAAATGGGACATCTCAATTAGAGGAATACAAAACAAACAAATGAAAAACAGTTCTAAAACTTTTACCAATACCATTCATGCCTAATTCACTGTCTTCTCTGCCAATAAGTATTATATTTTTTCTTCAGACATGATTAGTGAGCATTTCCACCGATAAAAAGGCAAATATTTATGTCTAAAAGACTTTGGAGATTATCATGTGTCCAAGTAACACATTACTAACCCAGAAATGCATATTCTAAGATATGCTTTATATCAGTGCAAATTAAGAATCTTAAGCAGATCAAATTAAACACTAAAAGTCCCTATTAATCTACATCATTTATGTACAATTTAGCTACTACTACTTTAGAGGCACAGAAAAGACATCTGGTGTGCAGCTATCTACAAAGAGATTGGGTGAACCTACCCTTTCTTTTTCTAATCTGTTTAATGTATATTTTTTGAGATATCTTCAGCATGCATTCTGATTCCATCATGTTTTTGCTGAGAAGGCTGCAATGTCTAACATTACTTTAGTGCAATTACGTCTTTATTTTGTAAATTGGTCATGAGGAAATAGGCAGAACTTAATCAAACCAGTTTCTACAGTTTGTAGAGATAATATTCTGTCAGCCTGTGCTCTCACTGATCAGCTGTAATCAGTGTCCATAACAGTTTTTTTTTTCTTCTGTTCTTAACTTTCCATACTTGCCCAGAAGGTCACAGTAGGAGATTAGGACTAGTATTTACATTACTGAAAAAATAATTGCCTTTACAACCTCAGAGTTAAGTAAGAAATAATTTCATATTGTTGCTAAAGATAATGGACTAAAAGCAACTTCTTCCACCTATACTGAAAATATTCTGATTGTGTATAAATTTTTGCACCATTTTCTTATGGTGTTTCTCCTCGCACTCCTTTCCAACGTCATAAAGGCTACGTGATTCATGACAGAGGATATTAATTAAAATCTCCATAGAGATAAAAACCTGAAAAAGAGAACAAGCTTGCTTTCCTGGCTTCTCTCTTTGAACCTTCTCAAGACTGACATTCACATTTAGCCTTCAAACAAATTAAATGCCATTGCATTGTTCTTATAACATTTTTTTTGTTGTTGTTTTATTCATTATATTTTGAAAATATCAAAGTAGATCCTATATTTCTCACAGTATTTTTAGAGAAATTATACTGTTTCAAAATCATGAGAAATATATTATTCTTCAAGCAGTAGCTCAGTTTCCTTTAAAATTGAACAAACAGTTCATCAACATTTTCATGAAATTAGGAGTAGAGAACTAAGAAACTGTGTTCTGATGGAAAATGAACAGCTAAGTAGCAGAAAAGTGTTATGAAGAGAATTAGGAGATTCAGAAATTAAAAACAAAACAAAACAAAACAGGAAAGTTCTAGATACCAGTAACCACTTTCAAATTTAGATACTCATGATTTCTGTCATGATTTCTTGCTGCAATTATAACCTTTAGACCATTGGTTAAGAATTACCTTAGAAATGTTTAGATGCAAGCAACACTTATCTTACCTTTTACAAATCAGATCTTAATGTCTCATTTGCTCATTTGAATCTAACCTGAGTAGTTGGGTTTGTTTGTTTGTTTGTTTGTTTTGTTTGTTTGCTTGTTTGTTTGTTTTTTGATGTTTCCAAACACTTTTCCTTCTTGTAATTCAGTTTGGATTCAGTAATGACTTTAGGGAACCCAAAGATACATTTATTCTAGGAAACAGTTGTAAAATATTCACTCAGACACAGTGTTGGTCCTTGGGGTTCAAATGGAACTGAAGATGATGCAAGAAATACAGACAACAATGGTAACATAACTTCTGTTGATAAATTAGAGAAACATCCAAATAAACACATTTCTTATATATAGCCAATGATCTGACTGGTTTGAAATAACTAGTCCTCATTTTATCCTCATTAAAGGCCATAGAAAATTTACAATAAACTCTTCTGAAATTAGACGTTTTTGAAATTTCAATTTAAAAATAAAACTCTCAAGGCACATGCCATTATTTTAGCTGACATTGCTAAGCATGGCGCTGATCAAATCAGAGCCCCTTGAATAACCAGCTGCATATTCAGAACTTATGTTTAGAAATAAACCTGTTTAGAAATATTTATTCAAAACTTTTAAAATTTTATTTTAATCTTTTAAGGAGAGACTTTCAGTTTTCATATTCTAAGAAATATGATTCACATTCTGTCTTCTGCAGTAATTTTAAATATCATTAACAAAACATTCTGGACATGGCTCAGGCTCCTTCAGAAAATGCAAATTTCAAGTTTTGATTTGTTCACAGTTCGTATCTTCAATATTTATCTTGCAATAACAAAATACAAAAAATAATGATCACTCTTTAAGGATAGCAGAAGCAAAAACTAAAGAATTGAATAAAAAGGAATAGAAATTGATTCTGAAAGTGTGTGATGAAGAGTTATAAGTAGAGAACTACAATAAAAGAACACCATAAAAGAGCTTTAATAGGTTTATACCCTTCTGCCAGTTTCAGAAAAGACTGCTGCTGATCAGAAACATTTATTTTAAAGAGAGGATGATGACCACAGACTTTTTTTTTTTTAGAATGTGGCTGAATGATGGTAAAATATTATGTGAAACAGGTAATATGTGAAAACAGGTAATTATGTGAAAGAGGTAATATGCCAGGTAATAAGCAGCTTTGTTCATCCCTCCTAAGGCTTTGATTTTCCATTATTTATTGTTTTGTTTATTTTCTTATTTAATACCTGAATGAATAATAAATTTTCACCTGCTTGGAACTGAGAACTTTCTTGACATAAGGCAGCAGAATCTTCGTATAGAATTCACCTTAGAGAAGAAGAAATTCCCAGTTCATGAGATACAAAAGACTCTCAATGTAGAAATATGCTACAGAGTATATTCCAATTTCTGAAACACCTTTTTTATCTTGAAGCTGGGCAGAAGATCCCACAAGTCCTGTTTAATTCCTCACTTTTGTAAGTGACCTTACACTACTTCTGGTTCTGCTGCTCCAGTGCTCCAAAACTCTATTTACATGGAAATTCTCTCTCTTTAAAATATGTTTGCGTGTTTTCATTTTTTAAAATGATATTCCATTCAAGCATTCATTATTGTTATTTATTTCTCAGGTCATGCTTCAGAAACTTTCTAGTCTAATAAAGAAATAATTTTACAAGCTTCATTTGCAACTCTTCAGCCATTTCACATGGCTTTCTGTTTAGAGTTTTCACTTATTTGTTAC